TCTATAATCCCTTCCACTTAATTCCTTTTAGACCATGCCAAATGCGTCGACAGCACGATTCTAGGTGTGTTGAATTTCGTTCATTGACATTAATTTTTTTCATGATTCAAAGACTGTATTGTCACGTGAGGAGGTCCGTCGGCAGTGGTACCGCTTTGATACAGTCCCAAAGCACTCATAGGGAATTGGAGTTACAAGTAAAATTCGTCCCCGGATCTCATATGAATATATACAAGGTATAGACATCAAATAACAAATTTGGGAAGTGAGAAGAGACTTGTAGCAGAGGTTTGAATATGTAGCGGGTACGCCTCGTCTGGCATGTAGCCTCAAGTACAAGTTAAACTTGTTCATTTACAAAAATTGAGTAGCATTGTTCGTTGATTCAATTATATCATGAGACAGTTGCACTATATTCATTATACTGACGATTGTGTGCTGCAACTCGTAGGGACGAAACCAAAAGCACGATTTGCAGAATGAAAGTGGACGGAGAGAGAAGCGCCACTCAGTAACTATCTTGACCGTACATGGGAACGAAAAGATGCTGGCGCTCCGCGTCATGGCTTTTGTCTCTTAAGAGAGGAAGTATTCCTAAAAGCTAGGTGACTAGATCAAACTCAACCTGAAATTGGACTTCCAACAGCTGCTGACAAAACCAGTGGGCGTTCGAGGCGGCGTGCCGCATGCTGTGCCAAGTATTCTTCCCTCAGACCCCATCCTAGCATCAAGCCTGCTGCCGGACCCAAAACCAGACTGATGAGTGTGCCTGCTAGGATGAAAGAGAGCCAGGGCATGCTCATCATTCCACTCGAGCTCAAGTCCATATACTCGAATGTGACCCATATCAAGCCACATACAAACCCCGCCATCTCCTCGTGGTCGATATGCATGGTAGATACTGTTAGGCTCATATGCTGTGATATTGGGAATAAGCAACCAAGTAATGACCGCCATACCCAACCTCTCGATAGCAAGGTCATGGCCCCAGATAGTAAAGCGCATGTGTAATATGTTATTCTAACATATGGCATGTCGACGTTCGGCGTCTCAATAAGCTCTCTCACTGTTGTTCCTCTGAGTAAGGAGGACACCTGGACATGAAGGAGTCGGAAAAAAGCAGGTAGTAGAATGAACATAAAAGCCGAGTTGCTTTGCACTGAAGGGTTTGCATAGGTGATCCAGAACCCCGGGATATAATAGCATGATACAAGGCAGGGATCAAGATTTTCATGTAAGAAATTTGCGTACTGCGACGATCTGGCGTATCGAATTTGGACACCGGTGACTGTATGGCATATAATAAGAAGTATAAGGGAGCTACCACATGTGTCCCTCCAAGTATTCCTGAAATCACAGAGAAAGACAAGGAACTATGAGATAGTTATTTCTCTCGCAGGCTCTATTAAGACTTTGTAAAACTTACAATGACATCAAAGTGGCAATGTTCCCTGTTCTGCAGCTTTCCACAGCCCAAATTGTTAGCAGCACCCCGTGGTCTGCGATTCGTGACATTGCTGCCAGGGTCTCAGTGCTTTTATGTTTGGTATAAGAGCCGCCATCTTCGTATGCTAGCCCGTTATGCTTATGTAAAGTAGGCGAATGATCAACGGTGCGGCCAGCAATGTAGTGCTGCAGAAGGGGTTGAAGTGCGAAGATTATGGTAATCGCAATAAGAGAACGCAGTATTAGTGATTTAGTTCTGGTGGCAGCTTGGATGCCTTTTCGTGTGTCAAATGGCATTGTGACCTGTAATGATCTCCGAGGAGGTGGGAGAAATGACAGTCTCTCGGCGCCAACAGTGGTCTCGCACAGGATATCTGCTATGGCATCTAGTTGGTATTTACCGAGGTAGAGACCGACCACTCTGTCTTTCAGCGTATGGAATGCTTCAAGCCTCGTAAAACCGTTACCCAACTCGCAGAGTAGCCTCATGCGTTGCTGTCTGGATCCAGCCCATTCTTTCAAGGAAGCTGAAATCTGAGGAAGGGATAGTTCGGAGGATATGCTGGCTTGCGCCACGGCAACGATCGTGTTTGCTAGGGACTCGGCACTCTCCATCGCCCCGTTCCCGCCTTGCCCCAGATTTGGGGTAGTCTGTACCTTGAATCAGCAACGAAGATTAGGGTAGATCATCACTGTACCTTGTGTACTGAATCCCCGATACATGCATACCTCTTCCAGACCCACTGATTCAAGAAACCTTCTTCGATAGGCACATGCGAGCAACGGACTCTGTTCTCGAATATATCCCGAAACCGCACCCCTTCTGCAACATACTTATTTAAGAAGGGGGCCAGATCTTCCTCTATCTTGCTTTGGTCTAAGCGAGGTATTTCTTTTTCGCCATATACCTTTCCCATGTCACGGAATACGAACCAAAATATTTGACCATCCCTTCCCACCGCATTGAAAAAGGAAAAGCCATGCGCAAATGTTCTGTTACAATGTCCGATCTTCATCCCGGGTGTGGGCTTGGAGAGTCCGAAAAACGCAGAATACTGAGCACTGAATACTGTCTTACCTGTAAGCATGGTGCTTTAAAAGTGCATAGGGTGTATTACCTCGTCCAAGAGCTTCCGGCATTATTTGCGATTTTGGGCTGTCGCTGACAATATCCCTTAACATCTTCCTGCGCGTAATGCTGTGTATCCCATCGGCTCCAACAACTATGTCCGCTTGGTAGGTACTTCCATCCAAGCACGCAACTATCGCTTGGTCGTCCGAAGAGGTTATCTCTATGACTTTCTTTCCGAGGAGCACGCATCCTTTGTCTGGTAGATGGTCAAAAAGGACATGAAGAACGCGTTGTCTTTCAATGAAAGTCATAGGGTAGCCCTGTCTGCTACTGTGTTAGCAATCCTACTGCCAGTCGTTTTACGACCGTAAACCGATGGGATGCCACATTGTGGAAGTGTTCAACGCGTGATTATGACATACCGGGCGGTAATCAAGGCCAAGCCTTCGGTGTGGCCAAGCAATTGTCCGTCATCTCGCCAGATGCGCTGGACGGAAATAGGACCACCGTGATATTGGATGTCCTCGAACATCCCCAACTGATCCAGAATACGCGCCCCGCTCGACAAAAGGCATAGTCCCGCTCCATCACAAGGTGCAGCTTCCGACCTAGCTTCCAGGACAACGAAGTCAATTCCCTGTCGAGCAAGAGCGTTGGCGAGAAGTAGACCCGCGATGGACCCTCCGACAATGACCACTTTCAAACGTTTGGTAGGCATATCGCTGCAACAGAAAGATGTACTAAATGCTTAATAGTGAGGGGTCGAGTATCACGAAGCCTTCTGCGAGGAATCTTGTGATTTTAAAACTTCTTTTATACCATATGGGTAAGACAGGTGGTCTACACTATAGCAACCATAACTGTGAACCTGATTTGCGTAAGAGTAACTCTTAATTGACCGCCTTGTCCGCCAAGGGGGAAAATCGCCCTTGCCACCTCAGTGACCGATTGCAGACAACGAGAACTTCCCTAACAGTCCCCTTGAAACAATGTTCTCATGGAGTGTGAAGGGAATCCGCTTTTGACGCTGTAAAAATCACCGAATGTAGTGTCATGCCCGATACCCCCTAATAGCTCTTTCACTATCTGAGCGCCTTGCAGTTGGTGATGCAATTGATCAACCCGTTAATCGCTGTTTATAGCTCAATCGAATGCCTGACCCCTTCCAACTATGGAGTACGGCTTGGGCTACATTCGCAATCCAGTACATCTACCTACAACCTAAAGAAGTGGGCGCCGAATTTTAATGTGATCGCAGCACGGGTTAATTCACTACTTTCGGCGTCTTACATATGGTGACGCAATGTTTTCGGGGCCTACCTCATTTGGCTAAGGACCAAATACACGAAGAAAGCCTCTAAGGCTATGTGAAGAAAGCAGAGAATAGCTTTGGAGGTAAGGGGGAGATGATTATGTTCTCATAGTTTCGTCATCTCAACGGCGATCAGCTGTATGCCTTTTGATTCAGCGCTGAGGGCTAGCTTATTGAATACAGCTTTTGTTCCAAATACGGCCTTTATGCTCAAAACGGTGGGGTTATCTATTCGAACGGCAATTACAGTGACGAATTTCACGTAGTTGTCATTGTGAAGATCAACTCAGGCAAGGGTCTGGCAGTATTCGTCCACACCGTTACCAAGTCTCTTGTGACTACCAGGTACGATGCAAATCGTTGTTCTGAAGAAAACCGTTAGGACATCGGTAGAGTGGAGATCCGGGGCAGAGGTGAAGACAAATGCATTCAGACGCAAGGGCGGGCTACATAATGGTACGCGGCACAGGCTTCTTCTGTGGAACGCTTGACCCGATGTGAGTAGCTAAATAAATAGGTCCAACCACACGCGCAAGGAGCAACTCTCTGTTCTCTACACACCCACAGCTACTTGGCGCGGATATCCCGGTTCGCCATATGAATTTCTGGTTTGACTTTCCTTAATGATCTTCTTTACCTCTGTTATTATCTTTACGAGGCCAAAGCAACAAAATTGACACCATACACCGGATCAAAAGGCAACAGTACTTGCCATGTGGACACTTGAATAAGGACTACATTTGTAGAAGGTACGCAACACCAACAATAACAATAAGCATTCGCTATGAGATAGGCAGACTTCCCACTACTCTGGATATAATTCATGTCACCGGGAGTGATGTAAAATGTAAACCAATTTTCAATTCATCTACAACTACCCTGCCATTCCGTTCTGTGGTTGATGTACTTCAATTCCTCCAAAACTGGTAGACATGCGTGTTTGAACCAGGGGCTTGCCAGTATATATCATGGCACAGTTAGAAAATAAATCACAAGTGATAATTGGCATATCGGAGACATTAATTCACTTCAATGAAAAGAGGGTTTAACTGCGCCGCACACTCATGCAATTGTTTCTTTATTTTCAAAATACTCCGATATGATCATCAACCAACGTGACGTATTTACCTGAACTCTTGGGTGCGGATACATACTACCAGATCAATCGTCTCAAAATAACAAGATCATAGCCCCCGTCTGATCTACAGGCAGAGTAGAGAGCATGTATCGTGGAGTACGAAGACTGTATCATACAATTAAGCAGAATCCAATATCATGGGAAAGATGCCACGAACCTCCACTCAATAAAACCTGCGCAGTAGTGGCGGCATGATTCGATCAAGAACGTCAAAGGTATTTGATTAGATCTTGCCACAATATCAGCTTCAATGCGGTCCAAGTCCGCGAACGAATCCTTGAGTATTTGGATTGAAATGTCGACGGCGGTTTGCGGTGATCTAGCCTGGTTGAGGAGAATAGGTATCAGACTATACACTTCTCCTTTATGCTAAAGAGGTTTGATGTCAGTGTACACCTTTTTGAATGAAAAAGTCTAGGACTCACGATCTCCTTCTTGAGGGACAGGATATCATTCGTGCTAAGCGTAAATTAGCATAAAATATTGAACTTCTATTGTATATGTACTGACACAGCGATGATAAGGTTCGTCTCGTGCCAGATTTCTTTCACCAACGGACTACGTGTCATTGACCGGGGGATACGCAAGTGCGTGGAGAGCCTTGAAGATTCATATGTTAACGTTATACATAGGGTACGGTCAGTAGTGCTGACATACTCTGTTGCAGCGCATATCACCCCCATCAAGTTTGTTCCGAGCCGATACGCCAGGTATTGGTCGGTTGACGGTATATCGGTTCCAAGACGATTTTCCTGTTCAACCTTGGACACGTCGATGACAAACATGATCTCTTCTGCCAATGTGAGCCTATGTTCTATATAGCGTCAGTCTCGTCATACGTGGTAGGAATCCGCTCTGCCTAACTGACATACCTTCGTCATACTCTTCTCCGATGAAATTTGCTATTGGACTAAACCCGCAAATAATGGTATTGTCGGTAATATGATCAGATTGTTCCGAATTCAATTCCAGACTGCTACCGATATACTGACGCGTCTCGTCCCGAAACTGCTGACCCATATTCAGGTTGTACGCCGTCAACTGGGATGCCCCATCCAGTTCGTCGTCCCAGACAATCAGCCATACAACTAGAAATGCCAAGACACGCAGCTTTCTGAATGATGTATGTGGCCACCATAGACAGGCTAATAGTGGGAAATCAGAAGCTTTTACTTTGCGTGCCTTGGCTGGATCTCCGGGCAAGAGACTGAGAAAGTCATTGGCATCAGCGTAATCTTCTGGTAAAGATCCCTATTGTGATGTGAGATACATACATATCTATATAGTCATTAACACATAGTGCTAATAAAGTATGGTTACTGTTTTTGACCCCGGGCTCATTCCTTATCAGAGACCAAAGATCCGGTATGAAGCACGTATGGCCATGTAACCGTTGAAGAATAACATCCTGTATTGGAGGGTTCTTCTTCATTTCAGCGGATAGTAAGATGCAGCGGTCGTTGATCAAAATATAGTTCAAAGATCTGGGTTGTCTTGCGCGCAACAGTTGAATCAATCATGGATTTCCACTTCAAATGTTGGATAGTTACACATTATTTACTTATAAATATTTATATGAAATCCCAACTCTGCAAAAGAAAGTCACAAACGGCTGTTGATTATTATGACATCCTTGTGACCTTTCATTACTAGCCAAACCTTAAAACCGTGGAATCGACTGCAACGTTGGATGACACTTCAGGAACTCAAGGAGTATGCGTGTTGATCGTTTACTCGCATCTTGTAAGCTGGAATTTGGCAGGATACACGTTCTGACATTCTCTGTTCAAATCCGGTGTTTTGCAGGAAGCCTAATTCTGGGCGTTTCGCTACCTGCATGCTTTGATATGCATGTAGCTTGATATAGTAGTTCCGAGCGCATGCAACAGATGCAGTTTAGTAGTCAAACATGTGTGGCAGTAAATCTGAGAATTGAATGATCTCACGGATACAAGTTTCGGCTCGTTTTCGGGGCATCGTATTAGGATCATGGTGACGGTGTCAGAGAGTTCACCATCAAATGCATTTCACTACAAAGGTGCTCGACCACTGCCTAGGCATTCTTTTCTATTATTCCGGCCTGAGCACAAATCCGTCCTACCATCTTGTGGACAGCCGGCTCTATGATCAGGACCAGTTACCATATAAAAAAGGCATTAACATTCTATCCCGTAGGGCATTACTTCTTTTGGGGCCACCCGAACAGGGAGCGGGGAATATACGTTTCAAGTAGTCCATGCCTTTGGTATAGTAAGACAGGTACCCCTAACATCAGGTTGACGCGTTCATGACGGATACTTCTGTCCCCTATTATGTACAACCATTGTAAATCATTCTCAAAATGATTACAACTTAGAAGATAAGGGTGCCTTCGCATAGCATCGTGTCTTCCAGCTGTGTTGTTCGAGCGGCTACAGTCGCAACCAAGTTTTCCTATCTTAATAATATGAGATTGGAAGCATGATGCCAGAGGATGCTTTCATAGTACATCCTCTGCAAGATGGTGAGGCTTTCGTAGAAACTGAGGAGCATATACCAAACAGGTCAGATGCCATGCCATATTCCCCAACTCAAACAAATGCGCGAGAGATCCCTTCACTGAGCAGGATGTTACAAAGATTGGGTGCCATAAAATCAACTGTGGATGTGGATGCATCAGTAATCACAGAGTAGTATGGCACGAGGTCACTAAGTTCAGTATCTAGTCCCATAAAAGAACCCTCTGTGAGCACAGGCTTACACGGCATGTTTAGGGGCCCTTCAGTATCTTCCCGGTTCCACCCCGACGATTCCGAAAGGCCCTGCGCACGGCCATACGTAAGGTTCAACTCGCCCCCGAGAGCTCGGCGTTTCTGCCGGCGTATCTGCCATTGTTGGCGCAAAGTGCCCAGGAAAACGCTGGTGCGTCGGGCATTCTCGAAGCAGCTAGCCATGCGGTCAAGGGCCCGAAAGCAAGTATTGAGATGGTTCACCAGGAGTTGATCTCGAGACGTGGTTCTAGCGGGAACAGTATTGAAGATCAATATTAGTGCAGCTGAAAATGCAAATGAAACCATCTTGATACTGGTCTTGTCAAAGCCGTAGGCCTGCTCATAGAGGCCGAGCAGTTGAACGATGGCCACTGCAGATTCGATGCACATTTTTCGAGCATGGCCTGAGCCTGGGCCTTGAGGAGGCTGGGGCTGTATATGGCGTCGCGAGATGTAGGGCTTGTGGCAATGGATCATGAACTGGTAGTACTGCATACTGAATTACTGTCAGATTTAAGACCGAAACGGAACAAGAGATCCTGGCAGGACTCACTGGAGGGTGAGAACATGGGGCAATGGCGATCGGAAACCAGTATGAGTCCCTTCATCGACCGTAAGCTCTTTTGGGAGGTTAACCTGCCACATTCGCAACTTCTCAACGGTTGTCGAAGCCAGCTCCTGCAGGGCGTGAGTAGAGATCTCTGAACAGCCGTATCTTTGGAAGTAACCGTTAGCGCCAAGAATATTTCTTTACTGAGGCGGTGTCTTACAAGACGTCGGTGAGCGGGAGCATGATTTCATATAGTGAGACCCATTCCTGGCACAGTGGGTTAAAGGGAATTGGAAGAAAGTTACTCCCGAGTTGATTGGGATATGGCTTCCAGGTCGAGGTAGGAAACGGGCTCGGAGACATGGGCTCCCGCACCGTGACGGCGTCCATCCGGCATTGGGCGGAGCGGCCCAGATAAAATCCCCAGAACCTGGATAGTAAGCAGGGTATCCCAGGAGAAGAGGGCGGGGACACTTACTGCTCGTTCAAATAGACCCCCCAGAATACCATGCGGCGCACCTCGGCGTCTTGATGGGGAATGATTCCCTTTTCCACATACGGGCCCATCTCCAGATGAAGCCCCAGATCCAGTGTAAGACGCATGGCCATCCCTTCTTCGTCAGCCCCAGTGCATGCCATTTACCGGAAAAGGGGAAGGCTTACCACTGTATAGCCATCCTCGAGTATCCCGGGTACAGGATGCCTCATGATTACTGAGGATAACCAGGGCCTGTATGGTTGCAATTGACGGGTTATCCAGTTCAAGTTCTACTAGCAGCTTGGCCCGGTCGCCAAAGTATTCCGCCAGTGAACGGGGAAAGGTGACAAAGTCGGGATGATATTTGGGCTCATAGGCGGCTCCCAGGGCACACATGGCGTCCGACAGGGCTCGGGAATAATATGGCGTGACAACCCCCTCCTCACGGCTTTGTGTTCGAGACCGCCAGAAGCTCTCGGCATCAATTACATGCAGGCTGGGATCCTGCCAAGCAAAGAAGAGCTCAATGAGGTGCTTTTCGAATGCTTCGTCGACGTTTTGATTAAGCTTGGCATTCTCTAGCAACTCGGGCGCATCCCGAGGAATGGCGATAGGCGGAGTGACATCAACGAGTGCATCCAGGAGCGTTAAGTTGGATGTGGAACCAAAGTATCGAAGTTGACCATCGTGGGTCACTTGCAATCTCCCTAGTCGACAGGAGAGCTGGTCAGTGACTTCGTCGTCACTGTCCCCATCTTCTTCCACTTCGTCCTCCTTCGGTCCTCCCTGCATAGTGGAGCCCTTCCACATCGTCCGTTCAGTGTCGCACAAGGGATCAGGAGCATCCAGAGGAACAGTCAGTTGGTGGGATGGCCCTACGCTATGGGTCTCGTCCATATGAGTGGGAGGACCGCCGCTGTTGATGGACGCGGGCGTAGTGGGCCCGATGTTAACATTGACACTATTGTTTTGCCCTCTCCGGGGGCTGGTGTGGTTTGGAAGCGCGAGAAGGTCTTCGCATCCCAGCTCCAAAGCATCCAGAACATTTTTCAAGATACGATGGTCCTCCTCGTCGATGGGCGGAACTTGTAGGCCACGCTCTTTGATATAGTGGACGAGGCTGTCCACCCGGCGTGCCAGCACGGCCACGGCCGGTCGCACGGGGACTTTCCGTTTGTCATCGCTTTGTCGGTAGCGACAGGTTTTGCCTCGAATGGCGCAGTTTCTACAGGTTGGGGAACCTCCGCCACACTATCGCAAATGAGAATCGGTGATGATGGTGGTTGGGCGACGGGGATGGAGTTGATTACCTTGACTTTCCCTTCACGACAGGGGATGCAGGCCGTGGTAACATGCTTTCGAAGGGACCGTTGACTTCTAGATCTAGCAGGCATAGTCGGAACATAAGAAAGAATACTCACAATGGCAGTTCACAGTTAAAGCGAGAATGACTCTAATGAAGGCATGGAAAAACACCAAAACCCTTCCGCGCGGAAATCATATCCCGAGCGGAGAGAAGGAGAGAGAACGGCCGACGGTCGGAAATCCACCCTGTGCCCCTATCCATGAAATTATATGTCTAAGGATGCTCGGAATGTGCTGCCAAATACGGTGATCCTTTCTTTATGTCTTTCTAGAGACTGGGGGGTCGTTTGGTGAACAAGTATCCAAGGCAGAAAGCGTATTGACATGGATGGCCAAACAATCCCGGAGGTTCGATCATCTTTTTCTTAGCCACGCCATGTCAAGATAGAGCATTCAGAGTCGTCTTCTTAACAGCTAGAACGGACTAGATATATTCCAAACCTCCGCTTCTATTCTTCCACTTTCTTTTCATCTTGTTGTTGGTTTTGAGCCAGACTAGCTATCACATCCAAGCCGCAATGGGTCTGCAACGATGAGGGTTTCGGACACGGCATTCCGTGCGCCCGCTCGAGTCGTCCTATAAAGGCCAGGCCGATACCTGAAGCTCTGCTCATCATTGCCAGAACATAGCGAGCTATTTTCGGAAAAGAAAAAGCTATATAGCCAATGCATACCATCACGACCAGCGTGGAGATTGCAGCCGCTCCCGAGGTAGTGCGGGACAAGGTGCGTCCCATTGCTGCAATCCCAAAGTGTACCTAGCAAACTGACCACGTCCGCGCAACAGTTCCTGGATTTCGCAGCTTTGCCCACCTATTCACCGTCCGGCTTTATACAGCACATCATCCCGGTCAATGACAAGCTTCCCGAGCACCTTCAAGCTGGGGACCAATTGAAATATACTGTCAACTACGGCAAGTCGCAATTCACCCCCACCGTTCGAGCCAATAGCCCAGACCTCTTCAGCTGGGTGGGCTCGATCCCCGGAATTTTTACAGGCGAGCATCGCTTCAGCTTTGAATGCGCTCCGACAGACCATCCTGGCCAAGCGAGCCGAACACGTCTCGTTCACGAAGAGCGATTCACCGGACTGCTCAGCTTTCTCATGGGTCAGGGCATGCTGGCCAACGCTGCGGGGTGGAGAGATAATACCCGCCAAGGGTTTGAATCATTCAACCGGGATTTTAAAGAAATGGGTGGAGACCTCCACGAGATAACTCATGGTAACAGTGCTGGGACATGAACAGGGACGGAAGGAGCGTTGTGTAGTGGCATACTCAACTTGATAATAGTAGTATGCTTATCAAACATCATCAGGGATCACTAATTATGCTGTCAAATAGTCATCGCCAATCGGAAGGATTTCACTCCTTCGCTCCCTCGTCAAGTAAGCAAGCCTATCGATGAGGTGAGATTCGCTCCATGTCGGGCAGATCGGGGTATCGGACCCCGTATCTCCTTCTTCCCGCGGCCCAGAGCTGCCCACTTATCCCTGAGCTTCTGTTTTGCTTGTTAAGCACTGCATGGAAGAGAAAGGTTGCTGATTCATCTAACTCCGGACGACCATACTATTGACGCCGAGGCCATGGCGAAGATAATGCTTCTAATCCCCGGTCACTAGTATGACGGGGAATCCTGCGACAATATATAATCGCCCATTTGCTGCCACAATAGCAGCAGAAGCAGATTCAACTCAACAGCCTCTTTGTGAACAGAAATTCATCTGTATTCTTCATCATGACCAACCAATACGCCAAGGACCAACCCGCTGGGTTCAGCAACCGCATTCAACGCATTGCTATCGTCGGAGTAAGTGCATTATGCCAAACTGTACCATCCACATCGTTAACCGTAGGTCCAATTGCCAGGCCGGGGGAACCGTCGGAAAGCCCATCACCGAGGAACTGCTTCGGACTGGACAGCATAGCGTGACAGCCCTGACCCGCATCGGTAGTACGAGCCAGGTGCCCGCCGGCGTCCAGTCCATTATTGTGGACTACGACGATGAGGCCAGCCTGGTGCGCGCTCTTCAGGGCCAGGACTGCTTGATCATCAGTCTCTCAGTGCGGACCCCTCGCGATACCCAGTCGAAGCTGCTGCAAGCTGCCTCTCAAGCTGGGATCCGGCATGTGATGCCTAATGTCTGGGGCTGTGATGTCACGCACCCGCCGTTAGCCGACAGCGGTCTCAACTGGGGAGGGTTTCGCGACCTCGTGGCCGGCATCGAGGCCAAGGGCATGGCGTGGACCGCACTGATCTGTGGGTTCTGGTATGAGCACAGCCTGGTACTGGGGCCGAGTGCATTCGGCTTCGATCTTTCCGCCAAGAAGCTCATCCTGAACGACGACGGCAACACCAAGGTCAATGTCAGCACCCTGGCCCAGTGTGGCCGGGCCGTGGCTACCCTTCTGAGTCTTCCTGTGCTTCCAGAAGACGAACAAGACGACCAGCTGACAATGAGTCGGTGGCGGAACAAGCCGATGTACATCTCCGATTTTCTGCTCACGCAGCGAGACATGCTGGCAAGTTGGCTCCGAGTGACAGGCGATACGGCAGACAGTTGGACGATCGAACAGGAACCCTCCCAAAGTCGATATGAGCGCGGATTGGAGTCGGTGAAGCAGGGCGACCATGCGGGATTAGTGCTGGCCATGTACTCGCGGGTCTTCTTCCCTAACGACGATGGCAATTACGAGCAGCGTCAGGGGCTAGACAACGACCTGCTGCGACTTCCCACGGAAGATTTGGATGAGCACACGCGCGAGGCCAAGCTCATGTTTGACCGGGGATATAATTATATGACAAACCGTAATTGACGGGGGTGGAAGGTCAAGATGCCTTTTGCTGTAGGAAGAGCTTAGCGAGGGTGAGGATTCATACTACCATACTACCTCGCATGCAGCATGTCAGTCGTGGTTAACTAGTAGCAACATAATGTAACCCACCATTAACAGTATATTGCATAACTTCCATCGGTAACCGAAATGAACCAGACCCAAAGAGTAATGTCAGTCCATCCATCGCCGACGGATCCCCGACCGGAGTGATTAACAGACGGGAATAGCCTCGGTTCATCTCTCCCCTAATGGCCGGTCCTTCCGAAGCAGTGACAGCCGTCGCCGATCCCACGTGCAGCACTAATGCCTTCATCCACACTTCTCACTCGCTCTGCCTCTTCGTCATCTGTCAAGTTCGCAGAAATGAAATTAATTGATGCGGAACTGGGCAGGGCCCCTCTTGCCCTCGTCCAATTCCAAGCAGAGGCGCGAAACGGCGCACGTTGCCTGCCACAATAACCCTATTCTGCAGCGTCGTCCGAAAGGCTCTCCTGGATGAGATGCAAGCCTTCATTCACTGCTCCGCATCAGTCCTGTTCCCGCCCACGTGTTACTTCTAGGACACATTTTTGGTCATGCGTCCGCCCACTGGAACTGCATATATAAGTCCCTCAGCGGCCACTACCCTCGCTGCTTCATCAGGAATGTCTTCTACGGGTGTCAAGAAGTTTGGTGTCTGCTCTGAATAAGCGCCAACATGTCCAAGATTCTTGCCTTGACCAAGGTTCTGCCCGTCCTCGCGGTGGGTACCCTAGCCGTCGACTATCCCACCATCCCCGAGGACAAAACCACCCCTTACCAACAGAGATTGGCAATTTATGGATCCAATGGTGAGAAACCCTGCTCTCCATCTTCATCAGACAAGAGCCACCGCTGACCTCCCGGACCAATCATTCAGCTGTCTCCGTCGCATGGAACACTTATGAGCAGCTGAACCAGAGCTGCGTCGAGTATGGCACCTCAAGCAGCAACCTGGACTCCAAGGCCTGCACGACCAAGTCGACCACCTACTCGACCTCGAGGACTTGGTCCAATGTCGCCTACCTCACAGACCTCACCCCAGCCACCACCTATTACTACAAGATTGTGTCTGATAACTCTACCGTGGGACAATTCCTCAGTCCGCGAACCCCCGGCGACACGACTCCCTTCAGCATGGACGTCGTCATTGACTTGGGTGTCTACGGTACTGACGGCTACACGCTGTCCTCGCGTAAGGCGAAGAAGTCCGACATCCCCAAGGTCGAGCCTGACCTGAATCACACCACCATTGGCCGCCTGGCCGATACCATCAACGACTACGAGCTGGTCATTCACCCGGGTGATTTTGCCTACGCTGATGATTGGTACGAGGACGTTGGTAACTGGTTGGACGGCTCTGATGCCTATCAGTCGATACTGGAGCGCTTCTATGACCAGCTGGCTCCCATCTCGGGTAACCGTCTGTACATGCCGGGACCAGGCAACCACGAGGCCGACTGCAGCGAGATTCCCTACCTGAACAAACTGTGTCCGGAGGGCCAGAAGAACTTCACGGATTTTCTGCACCGCTTCGATGCCACCGTTCCCAGTGCTTTCGCTTCTCAATCTACTAACACCACCGCCAAGGCACTCGCTGAGAAGGCGCGCAGTCTTGCCGTGCCGCCCTTCTGGTACTCGTTCGAGTACGGCATGGTCCACGTCACCATGATCGATACTGAGACAGACTTCAAGGATGCACCCGACGGTACTGACGGCTCGGCAGACCTCGACACAGGCCCGTTCGGCTTCAAGAACGAGCAGCTTGAGTTTCTCGAAGCCGACCTGGCCAGCGTCGACCGCACGGTCACCCCCTGGGTAGTGGTGGCCGGTCATCGCCCCTGGTACACTACGGGTGACGGGAACGCCTGCGATGTCTGCCAGGAGGCGTTTGAGAACATCTTCTACAGGTATGGCGTCGACTTGGGTGTCTTCGGCCACGTCCACAACTCGCAGCGCTTCCAGCCCGTGGTCAATGATACTGCCGATCCGAATGGTCTGAACAACCCCAAGGCGCCCATGTACATTGTCGCGGGTGGTGCCGGCAACATTGAGGGCCTGAGTTCTGTGGGTACGGAGCCTTCGTACACGGCTTTTGCCTACGCCGATGACTACAGCTACAGCACCTTGCGCTTTCTGAACTCAACGGCTTTGCAGGTTGACTTTATCCGCTCTACTACGGGAGAGACTCTGGACTCCAGTGTGCTGTACAAAGATCATTCCACCCAGTTTGTGGTGCAGTAGACTGGTTGCCGGGATTGAATGATGGAATGATCATGACAGCAAGGATAACTTTGTAAATATGTGTACATATTATCAAGAATGACAGGATGCCTGATCCTGGGAAGTTGACCGTGTTCATAATAAATATATCTGACATTGTCACCGGGGGCTAGGTCCATAGTCTCGAGGTAATAGTAGTACACTCTCGGCCCCCTTCACATGGCTTCATTAGTGGTTGGAATTGGTTGGTATTCATAGTGAGTCACATATCGCCAGAACTGTGTTTTTTCCAAGACATCTACAGGAAGCCAACCATTCTCCTCACTCAAACTCGCCAGGATGTGGGAAAATTGTCGATCGCATATGGGCAACGGCTGATGCCCATTGCTTCATCATATATCTCTGATTCGCGTAGAATATACCTTGACAAGATTCATTGCGGTACAGGTGCACTCAGCCTTGGTCTGTTCCGGGACACAAAGCCAGACAATGAAACCTCGTATCACCTTGATATACTTTATTATCAGCTGAGCACTCGATACACTAGCTAATTCTTCTTATGATACAATATCAGGAGGTGATCGTGGCTCGTCTTTGATCTCTCCTCCGTCCCAGATGCATCCCTGTGCAACTGCAGCTTGCTCCATAAGACGAGATACCAATGCTGAGGTCACTCCATCCTTTTGGCAGTCATTATCTTTCCATCGTGTAATGACTTTCAATGCTACAGCCCAGGCTCGGTCCGTCAGCATTGTTTGTGGTCCAACGCCAATCTGTCTCAGGACAAAAATGGCAGCATGCCATTGCGGGTAACCTTCGAAGAGCCATGACCACTGCTTGGTGCGAGGGTCGGTCTCGAGCAAATACGCAAACTCTAGTACCTCAATCGCCATCACAAAGAGTCGTTCATGTCTAAGTGATCTCACATCCGAGGGTGCGGTCTGCGATATCTGCTCTGCCGCGGACATACCCTCGGGGAGATGAGCAACCAACCATGATCGGGCAAGAGCCAGGCGGATGACTGTGGCTGTTACCCACTGCAAAGGAATTGAGACGTCACAGAACCACAAGTATTGTCTGCGCAATTTACTATGAATCTGTTTCAGTCCATGAAGCTTTGTTACCCTGTTCAGTGAACTGTCTTCGCCGTGCCCGCCGGTGCTACTATGAAGATCTGAGTGAAGCTGCCGATTGAGCACCGTCATTTCACACCGTATCAAACAGAATGTCATATCAGTGAAAATGAATCTTTCGTCGGGAAACGACCTTGACTCTAGCGATATATCCGAGTCATGAATATTCAGGGGTAACTTGGTGTCGTATGTTCCCTCTTTGATTTGCGTACCAACGGCACGAAACTCGGAAGACTGGCAGTCTAATAGGTAAAATGCCCACCATATCCGGCGTCGTACTTCTGTTTGAAACGGGTTTAGTCCAAGGTGTGTACCATCACGATGTAACCCTAGCCCCTGTGCTATGCGATGTACAGCCGCTGTCATAGCCCAGACGAAGGCGGCATCGTCTTCCCCACGCAGACAAGTTAAAAAGAGGATTGTGGCCTGAAGCACGGTCAGGTTGTGCGACTGAAGAAAGTTGGCACGCGCTAATGCTTGTTGTGTAGCGAATCGATAGTGTTGCTGCAGATTCCCACGTTCCTTTCCAAATACATGCTTGCATCGCTCTGGGTCCATGCTGGTGATAGCAGCAAAGTACACGGCAAACCTCACGGCCTCGGAGGCCCTGTCGTCGGAAAAGTCGTTGCAGCTGCACCGTTCAAGGTCTTAGCAAGCGATGGCTTATGGAAGATCATGGTCAACGGGGCAACATTCTCTTCGAACAAGTCCCATAAGGTAGAGTGCTGGACGCTGTTGGGGTAAAAGTCGGATAGGAAAACTGCCATCGGCGAATCCTGGAATACGAATCCATTTCCGGTTACAATTTTATGCTCCCCGCCACTTGATGCCACCTCTTGCATCCCAGACTCATCCTTCGCTTTCCCAAGACGATGCTTGCAGTGCTGACTGTCATCGATCATCTGGTACGACCCGGCAAGGGCCCCTTTGTCAGTATTGCAAATGCCACATTTTCAGAGCCTACAAACCTGTGTTTCGAAGTCAACAAGCACCTCGTGGTTGATATACTGGGAGGATCCTCTGTCCACAAATAATTTCCCGCGCTCGCCTTTCACAGCGGTGCTGTTCTCTGCTGGCTGGGGGGTGATGCCTTGGGTTGTAAGTCACAGTCTCCAGTTTTCGGTCAGGACCTGCACCTCCTTCTCCAGGGCCTTCAGGCGCGAAACCAGTTGAGCCTTCAGTGGCCGTTTCTTGCGTCGTGGGGCTCGATCGGGGCCTGGGAAGACGCACTCCGAAGCCGACTTGATGCAACCCGCGCAAGGCTGAGCTTTGTCACATCGTATCTTCTTCTGGCTGCAACGCCGGCAACTGCGTGTAGTCAAGGCTCTGTTCATCACGTCAGTATGCTAACTAGCATTGGCATGACCCAGTCAAAGATAGAACTAGAAAGCCCACTTAATCTCAGTGGAAGACATGATATTATGTAAGCATACATGCCCTTGCCGTTCGGCATTGAAATGAAGCCCGAAAGGGGCACCGTTAGTTAATCATGCAAAACCATTCATCATCTAAAACGTCGGGGCTTAAATAGATGTCATATCAATAATACCAGCATATACTAAATCAACTAGATAAACGAGGTAAGGATGAAACATATAAACAAGGGTATGCTGGTCGCTTTCACTTCCACCTCCGCCTTCAATGAGTTACCATTGAAACAACATGGCGCCCGCTTCCACCAATACTGGAATTCCGAAAGACTCTTGGGTTCTGGTCACTGGTGCCAACGGCTATGTGGCCTCTCACACGGCGGATCAACTTCTGCAGCAGGGCTACAGAGTCCGTGGAACTGTACGGGACCCATCCAAGAGCCGATGGATTGAACACTTGTTCCATAAGAAATATGGAGCCGACCGGTTCGAGCTAGTCAGGGTTGAGGACATGACTGCGCCTGGTGCCTTCGACCAAGCGGTCAGAGGTAACTCTTTCCAGAGTTGTGAATCGGGCATAACAGCTCGGCAGTTTCGCTCCACAAGACTAATCGACAACGACAGGGATATCTGGCGTGGCCCACGTCGCAACCATCCTGGGCCACACACCCGACTTAATCAAAGGCGTTGTCAGTACGAATCGTAGCCTCCTTATCAGTGCAGCGAGAGAAGACACAATAAAGCGATTCGTATACACTTCCTCGTCCGAGGCAGCAACCTTCTCATCCTTCTCGGAGCACCAAGCGGGGCCAAACATGTCTATATCCGCAGATACGTGGAATAAAGAGGCTGTCCGCAGAAGCCAGACCAACGTCATGAGTCCGAAAAAAGGCTTCGACATATACGCCGCCAGCAAGACGCTGGGTGAGCAGGAGATATGGAAGTGGGCAGCAGAGAATCGCCCGGGGTTCGTTATAAATACGGGTAAACCAAACGCACTATTTGTATGGGTTTTGACAAGTAGCTGACTTTTGTCATTCAGTCCTGCCCTCTGTATGCTTCGGGGCCTCCATCGATGCTAAGTCTCAGGGCCATGCCTCATCATCTGGCTGGCCCGCAGCTATCTTTCGTAATCAGTTTGATCAGGTCTGGTCATTCCTGCAGCACATCATACCTACAGGTAACTGAGCTCAACACTCCAGGTTTTGAGTAATACATCTGACATAGATTCACAGGCGCCTACTGCGTTGATGTGGAGGATGTTGCACTTCTCCATGTGGCGGGTCTAACCCACCCGGAAGTGAAGAATGAACGTCTCTTCGCTTTTGGAAACCCTTTTACATGGCACGAAGTCGTATCCACATATCAGAAAGCTTTCCCCGACCGTGAATTTTCAAGCGAACTGCCAGGTGCGAACAAGATGGTTCATTATGACATCGGGCCGGATGCCCGTGCGCAGGATTTACTGAGGGTAATGGGGAAGCCTGGGTGGTCTACCTTGGACACTCTGATTGCAAATGTATCGGACATGCTATAGAATTGGCTCTACTACTTCATAGTCTGGTAAATGCAGCTCTTCGAAGAAGTCTTTGGAGTCAAAACCCAGCATAGCCTTCACATCGCCGGATATTTCTCTGCACGGCCCATGTGCTCCGTCATGTTTATCTTAGACACTGCAAAAAAATGAACCAATGGCATAAATACTACTGCCCGATATTGAGGCTAGAGTAGTGAGGTATCTCCGAGGATTGAACACAGACTTTCAGAGGCGCAAAGAAGGTTAAGGCAGTAGCGCGATATACGACCTGGGTGAGGACTTTCAGGATTGGGCTGCATGTCAAAACATCAATTTTGCCAAGTAGGCAATAACCATATATTGCAGGATACTGAGCGGACGGGGTGACCCAAATGTCTCAATATAATCACAGGGAAAGTTGAAAGTGGGGCGGTAGCGGATACTAGGGTTTTCCCAGTCTAGGCTACAGCTGAAAGCCTAAATACACCCAGCCTTATATAGGAATTCCACACTCTAGAGCCTCTTTCTCTCTTTCTAATCATTACCCACCTCCTTCACAAGCCGCTGTGACTCAGTATGTCAACGAACACTCTAATCACCACCAACCCGCCGTCCCACGACGCGGACGAAACTATGCGAGAGGCCGTTGATCGGTTCCGCGCGCGCATGGCGGCTACCAACCGACAATTCGTCCAGGACCGCATCGATGAGATCAACGCACGGGGACTCGCAACGGGGAAGGAAAAGATCCGCAAGATGTGGGATTAGCGCCATTTTGAGGACTTGGACCGAGACGAAGCGGCCAGTGACAACGACCCCGAGGAGCGCCGCAAGAGAAACCAGTTCCGGCAGACGCGGGAGTTGGCGGCAGTGCCCGCGCTGCTGGTCGAGGACACATTCCCCCTGTTCTCCCTGGATGGGATCCACCCGCCGCGGCTCCGCACACCGGAAGCCCGCCAGATCTTTCTCGACACCCTACAGGAAGTGTTCCAACGGCAGGCGGAGGAGTGGGCGGCCGCCGAGGACGAGTATCTAGACTTAGCCTCGGAACCCATTACACGCTGTGAGGAGCTGGGTCGACTCTTAATGTATGCCCACATGGTGCAAGACCCGGACTTTCGCCACTCGGGAATCGCCCCTTTGGAGGCAGGGCTGTTCGTGATGCATAGCGGGTATGGACACTCCCTGTGTCTGGACACGCAGGAGCAGCGGGACCAATACCATGCGCATGTCCGCAAGGAATGTGCGAGGCTGCGCGAGAGTTTGGAGGGGAAGAACACAGACTTGATCAATAAGGCCATGTTCCTGGCCGACCCGGATGAGGATCTGGAGGTCCGAGCGGGCCTGATCATGGGCACCGGCTACCGGGGGGAGTACCCGAAGTGGTACAGCGCGTACCTCTACTGCCGGAAGTATCCAGACGAGGATATGGAAGGAATCGATTTCCAAGATGAAGGTATCCCCGACGCCCCCAATATCCGGGAGTGGGGGTGGCGCGTCGTCTTTATGGAGGCTGAGGTGTGCCACGTCTTCGAGCCGCATGTGCTCTACGGACGAAAGCCGCGCTTCGACTCGATCCCCGAGTTTCTGGACTGGTATGCGAGCTGGGCGGACAGCTTGGATGCCCGCGGGGTGCTCAGTCTCCGCCGGCATCTGGTGAATGGTGAGACTGATTCCGAGTCCGATTGCGAGGAGCACTGTCCATAGGACTCTGGTGGGCTTGTGTCAGAGAGGGATCAACATGTTGGGCAGACATAATTGGCCCATCGCTCGGTGCTGCTTGGGTGTATTTCTTGAAACCTGAATACGGACAGGCTCATTTCTCCCTGCAAGACAGCGCTACGAACGAAAAAAGACGAATGTGACGAAGACTCAGGATACAGATCTTCGCGGCCCTGCTTTGGAGCTTTCCAAATCATGCACACTAGATGAGAGGCACATTTGAGGCTTCATTAGGTTGGCTACTATCTTTCGTAGTGACTAGGGAGTATCGCGTTCATTTTTTTTCGGACAGCATTATCTTAGTTGCTATAGGTAACTTTCAGATTCTCGGTCAAAATCCATTGTGTAAAGAGCAAGAGAGCTCTGAGCTTATTGTGACCTTCCAAATCGATGTTCTTTGAGAACATTCAGCATGTGCAGGAGTATTGTTTTGGTAGAGGATGGATTTTGCTGATATTCAGTACGAGCTAGTCTTGTTTGGGTGCAGACCCTGATGGATTGGATCCACTTGGTTCAGGCACGAGGGTCTTTAGCTCCGGTTCTGCCTGGCCACCGTCTTCCCTATAAATGAGGCTAACCACCCGCCACCCGCAAAGAGCAAAATGATATGAAGAAAAAAAAAAATAAGATTTTTTTCATCCGTAATATGAACCTCTCGCAAATCCTTCTGGCCCTGTTGTGGTGGTGCGTTTCCACGGCGGCTGTGGCAGAAGAGACCTGCGACAATGCTCCTCCCAACGATCCCATCGGCGTCGACCTCGGCCATCGTTTTGTCTTTGCCTCCTACGCAAATTCTTTAAACAATTTCACCCTATTGGGGGTAGTCAATCACAAGGAGTACCAGCGGCAGATCGAAGAACTGTCCATGGACCATTTTCAGCGATCCGGGCTTGGGAAGCCGAGAAGCGGATCTAGGTCGACACCGCTGGCGCTCCTGACCAGCGTCATGTGGAGCGTGTTCAAAGTGATCGATGCTAGAGTCTACATCAGCAGCAACGCATACGTCGTCTGGACTCAAGACTCGATTCGCTCGATATCTGACACTGTCTACGGGATCATCCCCGTCTCTGTCCAACGAAAGGTCAAGTCCTTCCTCGTCTCGCGCGGCCTGATCAAGAAGAAGCTGTCTCTATCCGACGTCACGGAAACACTCACAGAAGTACTCGCCGAGCTCAAGGCTACTTCCCTTGCAGCTCACGGCGTCAACGTGACCTGGGCCGTAGTCGGCGTGCCCGACTTCTTCAACGACACGCTGAGAGAAACAGTTATTCGAGCCGGGCAGCAGGCCGGCATCACCATCCTCGATGGTGCCGTTCCCCCGCGCTCCTTCTGCACGCACTACCTCAATCCGGCGATCGACCAGTATGATCGTGTCTTGGTTGTTCACCAGGGAGAAACCCATTGTGGTGTTCAGTTGTACGACGGGTCGCCACAGCGCCGCCGCAAGGGCCAGTCAGTGTATCCATATCTTCCTTTAGATCCGTGGAGTGGGGATAGGATTCAGTACCGCCTTGTGAAGGAGCTTGTTGACGGTGATGCTCAGTTGAAAACTCTGGTTGTTCAGGGTCGTGATAACGGATTTTTGATACAGGCGGTGCTGAAGACAAGGTTGACGTTAAAGGGTTATGATCCGGCAGTGGAGCTGCTGCTGGGGCTCGAGCCATTGCTAGAGGATCAGCTCGGTGGTAACAGAGATTATGAAAACGGGGAGACGCTCGACGAAATTCCGCTAAATTTAGATTCCTGGTGGACGCATGGGAACATCCCCGACTTGGTTCTCACGCGTAGCCAGATCACGGCAGTCGAGAATAACTACATGGAAAGTTTGGCAAATAATATCCAAGTTTATTTGCAAGCTATGGCAGGTATGTCTCATGGACCACATAACCCTGTTTCAGTATCAGGACTGACTTTCTACAGAGCCACACAAAACGGGAAAAGCAACAAAACAAGAGAGAGTGGACTACGCAATCATCTTGACCGATTACTTCGATGGAGAGCTTGTGCACCGTGCTGTGCAGCAGGCTATCGGGCATGGAGTTCCTATTGTTGGGTCGTTAAAGGATATCACTATGGTGGCGGACGGTGCGGCGAGACTGGCGTGGACGCGGAGGGAGAATCTGCTGTCGATGCGCGAGATTGCAAAGACTAGACATGATGAGCTTTGACAAGGAAAATTCCATACCAAGAGCTAAGCCGGTCGGTGAGAAGATAGATGTACGATATGCGTCATAGATACCATTCCAAAAATCGATGTGTACTAATCATCTCTTTTCCGATCATTACACCAGGGTAAACGTAAGACAATTCTGATAGCTGCTATTTCACAACTGCCTTTATCCGGTTTATACTATGGGGTAGATTATTATACACTATCGATACTGTACATCACATGTGCCTTCCAGATCCGGCTATTTCTTGAATCCACTCTCCTTCTTCAACCAGGTTGCAAAGTCCATCATTTCCGGGTGGATCTCCCTCAACCTCGGAATGTCAGCCCTATATCCTTCGTTTCGAAACCACTGGAACATGTATCCCATATCCTTCATCATGGCCATGAATAACGAGCATATCGGGCGGAATGTCATGGGTAGTGGCTGTCCAGTCTTCTGTTCAAAGATCAATCCCATCCCTTCGAAGGTGAGTTCATCACCGGCAAGCGAAATGGCCCTCCCCTTGTACTTGTCCGGGTTGAGGAAAGCCTCAGCACCGAAGTATCCAATGTCGCTTGTGGCGACAAGCTGCAGTGGCTTTCCAGCCAATGCCATCTTGAAGCACGTGGTGAAAACCTTGCCGAAGAAATCCGGAGTTAGGTTTTCGTAAAAGGCGGCCGGGCGCAGAATCACCCAGTCCATGTTGCCATCTTTGCTTCGGTTTACCAGGTGGTGTTCGATATTATGTTTCTTGATGAAATGGGGTATCTTGGTGGGATTTTGGAACGAGTGCTCCTCGCCGCCGCGGTCAACGGAACTGTAGACGAAGAACTTGACCTTTTGTCGGATAGACTCGTCGATCAACGCTTTTCCTTGCGTTTCTTCCGCCTTGTTGCCAATTGCGGCCTGGCGAGACGCAGTCAATAAGAGCGATTTTTGTAGACCAAAGACAGGTTCATTGACCTACCTGCACACTATATACTCCCCAGATGGGCGAGGTCGTTAAGCGTTGAGCATTGCGGAAGATGGCACCCGGGTTATTTAGATCACCCTCCACCAACTTGATATTTGCAGACAAACTAGCCAGCTTCTGTGCAGACGCGGAGGAGGTGTTCCTGGTGACGGCGAGGATCTCAAAGGGAGCCTTCCGGAGAAGAAGATTCCTGATGAGGGCACCCCCTTGTTTGCCGGTTGCACCAGTAATAAGAACGGCAGTCATGGCGGCAGGAACGACAAGTTGAATTCAGTTTACGGGGGAAAACGATCCATCTACCCACGAAACCCCTTTTATAAGATCTTGTATCGCAGTTGCAGATGTAGGTTAAAGATAGATTTTCGGCCTCATCCCAATTACGCGTATTATTAACGTCCAGTATAATTACGTCACCATTCCCATCTCGGGGGTTATTTCAGGCCCGAGATGATTAACAACCCCAATTTCAACGACAATCTCGCAGTCCACTTGAACCTTGTTGGAGCAGAACATTTCATGTGGGTATTAAGGTATGAATTGAGTTTGGTAATCCATGCTCGCAACACATGAATCAGCTCGGAGTTGATATAGTGGCCGGGTGGCGCCAGCTTTACAAACCAACACCATGTGTACTTCATATAAGGGTCGCAAGCACGTTCTGAACTATACTGCACAATCGAACAGTTCTTTCTTTACAACACACACTTCTCCAATTAAACCTATCACCTACATTCAACAATTCTCCAAATGAAGGTCGGCATTGCAGGTATCACGGGCAAATTTGCCCGCCGCCTTCTCACCCACCTCCTCGATGTTGGTGACGACTCCCTGACTATCAAAGGGTACTGCCGCAACCCTTCGAAAGTCCCCGAATCCTTGAAATCTTCTCCCAAGCTGGAGATAATTGAAGGTACGGCGTTTGATCAGGACGCCATTGCCACCTTCGTCCAAGGCTGCGATGTCGTTGTCTGCTGCTACCTGGGCGATGACAAGCTCATGGTGGATGGCCAGAAGCTTCTCATCGATGCTTGCGAATCGGCTAATGTTCCGCGCTACGTGGCCAGCGACTGGGCACTCGATTACACCAAGTTGAAGTTGGGCGAGTTGTTCCCCAAGGATCCCATGATCCACATCAAGAACTACCTCGATACGAAGACGAAGGTTGCGGGAGTGCATATCCTCATCGGTGGCTTCATGGAGCCCATCTTCAGTCCCTTCTTCAACATTGTGGATGTTCAGACCAACACCTTCCGGTACTGGGGTGACGGTAATGAGATTATGGAGGGAACGACCTACGATGATGCGGCCAAGTATACGGCAAAGGTGGTCTTGGATTCGGAAGCAAAGGGTGTGCTGAAGTGTAAGTCGTCAATCCAATATTCCTCTTGAGAACTAGTTCTAATGGATGGGCTTCTTGCCTTTAGTTGTCGGAGGCCGTGCTACGATCCAGGAGATTGCCAAGTCGTATGAAAAAGTCTACGGCACTCCTGTTACACTGGAAAAACGCGGATCCCTCGAGGACCTGTACAAGACCATGCATGATAAGCGGACGAAGAGCCCTCAGGACATTTACAGCTATATGTCTTTGTAAGTCTACACTTTCAATTTCCTGTTTCATCCTGTCAATCTCGACTAACCGAGGGTTACTTTTATAGGTTCTTCTACTACTACTGGGTCAATGGACAGACCTTTGTTGGGCCCGAGCTGGACAATGCCCGTTATCCGGATGTCAAGGCAGTTGACTGGGAAGGGTTCATGAAGAGCTGGTCCCAGGAGCAGATTGGGACATCTTACTTTGCTCTGAACATGTAAGATGTGCGATATAGCTGGGATTCGGTAATTTTGCTTTTGAATAGAGTGTGTAATAGCCGCTCAGGCAAATCTTGCACCTCTATTCTCTATTCCTCTCCAGGCTGTCTGACGAGGGCTTTTATCTAGACGCCATTCAAGTCTCCTTGAATCGTCGTCATCTGTGGACAAGGGGGGAAACAAAAATAAGATGGCCTTTTCTTTTAGTTGCAGCGAGCAGGTAAACCAGATATATCAAATCGCATCTGACCAATACCTATAAATGACGAAAGAACTTGGAAATTAAATAAGATTGAAGACTATCCACAATAGAGTTTCAACGTGAGCTACATATCCACTCATTTGTGCTACACCTATTCATTATCATCTACGAGTGCGTCCACCGACTGAGGAATCAATTGTTAGAGCCATCCAACCACCGAGCCAGTTGCCTGGCCCGACCGGCGGCGTCCTCCAACGACACGTAACCGTCGGGGTTGCCCTTGGCAAAATCGATCAGGGTCCGCTGGACAGAACGGGCCCTGACTGGCACCTCCAGCTGCTCCTCCGACCACGTCCACTCTACGGCCTCCACCGTGTCCGTGGCATGGTGGTGAACCGAAATGGTCGCCGGGTTCTGGTAGGCATCCGCCTGCAGCGAGATGCCCGCAGGCGCCGACAATCGAATGGCTCCCGCTTCACAGTTCAGTGTCCACGAGAGCGATGGATCTCCCGGGAAAGGCTGACCTCGGGCAAAGTATGCTACTAGACTAGCCCCGCGGACTGTATAGGGAGATTCAGGCAGGGACCCTGTCGCCTGTTAGCGTACCGTGCAGCATTCATATTATCGCCGGCAGGCTTCTGGTCATACCATGCACACTCAGTAAATCCGGCACATCTGAGTCAACCTCTTCCACGAACTCCCGTGTCTGGGGATTACGAATGCGGATACGAGGCCGCTGGATTTGCGTACGCACTTCATCGGTTCCGACAACCACATTTCCCACGACCGATTGGACATAATCAATCACTATACTTATGTCAGTGCTAGTGTGCCACAGCTACTCTGAGCTCATTGCCAAGGGCTAGAACCAGAGGAAGAAGGGGTATCAGGACGAACTATGACCAAACCCAATGACGATGGGATTACCGCCCACTTCCTTCTGCGAGAAATACTTCAGACCCGGGGGCAGAAACTCTCGATCGAACGTGCCGCCAAAGCCACGGACCTCTGTGCTCAGCAGGCGACCCAGCTGGCCGGAGCGCAGGATCTCCTTGACTTTGAGCACGGCGGGGGCAAAGCGGCCTTGGAGGCCTACGGCCACCCGCGCCCCACTAGCACCCGCTACGGCGAGGAGGTCATCCACATGGGTCAGCGAGCTGGCAATGGGCCACTCAATATAGACAGACTTGCCGGCGCGAACACTGGCCAGCACGGTCTCATAATGCTTGTCGACGCGCGTATTGCAGATGACGAGATCGATGGCGGGATCGGCCGCCAGATCATCTGGGCTACCATAAGCTTTAACGATGGTCGGGTCCAGCTGGTAGGTCCGAATGGCGGATTCTGCAGCGGCCACACTGCTGTTGCAGAGAGCTGTGATCTGGTAGAGCTCTCGACCTGCAGTACTCTGGATTGCCGGCAGGTGGGCATCGGCCGCCCAGGAGGTGATGGCGGAGGATGACAAGCCGATCAAAGCAGTGCGAAGGGGGGTAGTGGACATATTGGCAGGAGAATGGAATTGCGGATGTACTATCTGTGTGGTTTCAAGACAACAATGGGTGTCCCTGCCCCCTGTTGGGGATGCATGATGCATAATATATAGTTAGAGACATTGTAGGGGTTGATAATATATCATGGTATTTTACAAATGCGGGGGGGGGGATTGATTAGAAATCAACAATGGCGCAATCCTTCGAACACATGCAAGATACGAATTAGGGTGGTAAGTTTCGCCGTCACAAGAGTAATACCACAATATAATCTTAGTTCAGTGCATTTATTCTGTCAGGCGTACATGGCCCATTCGGGAAGTAGGAAATACAAGAAGAGGGCGGAGAGGCGGCAAGGGGGGTGGTGGAAGGGGGTTGTTCGTTTCCGCTGCAGCGGATCGGTGGTTTTGTTGACGGCGGGCTTGAGCGGAGGTCACATTCCGCCCCGGTCATTACTTTATTATTATTAAGTTCCTGCTGTCCTCCCCGATCGGGTCGATCGCACTCTGAAGTCCCTTTTCAAGTTAAACTCGCACGAGGGGAGGGTTCCACCCTGCGACTTGCATATCCGATCGAATAGAATTCGATCGGAGAGGAAAGAGAGGCAGATCGATGGTTGATCTGGGAAGCTTGTCGGGATTCCGATCGGCGGGTCCGGGCCTAACAGCCTACTTTACGCCTGGCGCGTCATATGTGCTCTATGCAGAGTATAGTATAGTTAGTGCAGAGAATAAATCGTGATGACAGCATCTTTGCTGCCTTAGGATGCAGGGTTGGCGCTCGGGATGATTGAGATTCCAATCGGCTCCTGTCCCAATTTATCGGGTGCCTGAATTACCCGTGACCAGGTGCTGCCTCAGGCTGATCGGCTGGAAGCCCGAGACGTCAGGCGGCAGATGAGTCAGCCGTGGCCCAACGGCGTCCATGCTGAAAGGGGACTAGCGGGAGGTCGACAGAGGTCTGGCCCAGCGGGGAGAGCGGGGCAGGCCGCCAATGAGCAGGCAGGCGGACGGCGCAAAAAGCCGGTTTTGGCGGGTGGGAGATTCTCAGCGGCGGGTTCGGACGCCAGCCAGTCACACGTCGCTTAGTCGTTCCTGCTCCAACTGGATGTCGTCGTAGCAGTAAGTATCTAACAGTACTAGTAACTACTAACTAGCAGTAATGAAGTCGGCTTGCTATCTCCGAGTTCCCTTTCTTTGTGTCTCTCTCTCTCTCTCTCTCTCCATCTTCTTTTTCCTTTCCCTTTTTCCCTTCTCCCTTCTTCTATACTATCCCACCTCCCCTCCCCCCCTCCCCCCTACCCCCCTCTACTATTCCTCGCCCTGCCGCTAATTCCCCACATTCCTTCGTTTGGCCATCATCTTTCTTTTTTTTCTCCTTCTTCCTTCGTTTTCTTTTTCCGGCTGTGGCGCCTTGTTTTTCTTCCCCCCTTCACCTTCATCTTCCTCCTGTTCCTTCTCGGTTTCCCTCCGTCTTCCTCCCCTTCTTCCATCTTACGATATGCCAGCAGCGTCCCGTGAGTGATGGCGGCCTCCTTCCAGCACCCTGAGGCTGAGCGGGAGAGAATTCGAGATTTGTCCCGGTAAGTTAAATAATCATGGATCTCTCCGCCTTTTCCCCGAGAGGTTTAGAGCAGATCAGGATCAGCTCTGATCTGATCTGATCTGATCTGATCTGATCTAATACTCCCTGCAATGTCGATCATAACCACCCTTTTCTCCAATTCAACTGCGATATCATTACAC